CAATACATTCAGAAAAGCATATCACGATTCGACCAAGTCAACATGGTTTTGAAGAACAGCCACTGGACTTGAACCGTTAACTTGATTTCCCTCTCCACAGATGCTGCCAGGCCTGCTGAGTTTCTGGTAGGACATTCTATATGTGTTTCAAAAGACAAATCCTGTTTCACAAAATTAGCAGCAATTTTTGAGGATGTAATTAGTGCAGAAATAAAGGTGAAACTATAATTATATTTTATTTGTATTTCCAAAAGGCATTCAATAAGAGACCATACAAAAGGTTGTTAAATGAGATAAAGACTCTTGGAGTTTGCAAAGATCAATATTTAGTAACTAAAGCCTGTAAGGAACTAGATAATGAAGTCAGTGTGACTAAGGGGAAGAGGAGGCAGAGAACAAATGATGAACGCAAAGGGACAGGTGGTCTGAGGTGCATTTGTTTTAATGCGAGAAGTGTAGTAGGTAAGGCAGATGAATTTAGGGCTTGGATTAGTACCTGGGAGTACGATGTTATTGCTATTACTGAGACTTGGTTGAGGGAAGGGCAAGATTGGCAACCAAATATACCAGGTTATAGATGCTTCAGGCGGGATAGAGAGGGAGGTAAAAGGGGTGGAGGAGTTGCATTACTGGTCAAAGAGGATATCACAGCTGTGCTGAAGGAGGGCACGATAGAGGACTCGAGCAGTGAGGCAATATGGGCAGAGCTCAGAAATAGGAAGGGTGTGATAACAATGTTGGGGCTGTACTACAGGCCTCTCAACAGCAAGCATGAGGTAGAGGTACAAATATGTAGACAGATTATGGAAAGATGTAGAAGCAACAGGGTGGTGGTGATAGGAGATTTTAATTTTCCCAACATTGACTGGGATTCACTTAGTGTTAGGGGTTTAGATGGAGCAGAATTTGTAAGGAGCATCCAGGAGGGTTTTCTAGAGCAGTATGTAAATAGTCCAACTCGGGAAGGGGCCATACTGGACCTGGTGTTGGGGAATGAGCCCAGCCAGGTGGTTGAAGTTTCAGTAGGGGATTACTTTGGGAATAGTGATCACAATTCCATAAGTTTTAGAATACTGATGGACAAAAGACAAGAGTGGTCCTAAAGGAAAAGTGTTGAATTGGGGGAAGGCCAACTATAGCAAAATTCGGCAAGAACCGGGGAATGTGGATTGGGAACAGCTGTTTGAGGGTAAGTCCACATTTGATATGTGGGAGGCTTTTAAAGAGAGGTTGATTAGAGTGCAGGACAGACATGTCCCTGTGAAAATGAGGGAATGAAAGGGCAAGATTAGGGAACCATGGATGACAGGTGAAACTGTGAGACTAGCGAAGAGGAAAAAGGAAGGATACATAAGGTCTAGGCGACTGAAAACAGATGAAACTTTGGAAGAATATCAGGAAAGTAGGATCAATCTGAAACAAGGAATTAAGAGGGCTAAAAGGGGTCATGAAATATCTTTAGCAAACAGGGTTAAGGAAAATCCCAAAGCCTTTTATTCATACATAAGGAGCAAGAGGGTAACTGAGAAAGGGTTGGCCCACTCAAGGACAAAGGAGGGAAGTTATGCGAGGAGTCAGAGAAAATTAGTGAGATTCTTAATGAGTACTTTGCGTCAGTATTCACTGAGGAGACGGACATGATCGATGTTGAGGTTAGGGATAGATGTTTGATTACTCTAGGTCAAGTCAGCATAAGGAGGGAGGGAAGTGTTGGGTATTCTAAAAGGCATTAGGGTGGACAAGTCCCCAGGTCCGGGTGGGATCTATCCCAGGTTAATGAGGGAAGCGAGAGAGGAAATAGCTGGGGCCTTAACAGATACCTTTGCAGCATCCTTGAGCACGGGTGAGGTCCCGGAGGTCTGGAGAATTGCTAGTGTTGTCCCCTTGTTTAAGAAGGGTAGCATGGATAATCCAGGTAATTATAGACCGGTGAGCCTGACGTCAGTGGTGGGGAAGCTGCTGGAGAAGATACTGAGGGATAGGATCTATTTACATTTGGAAGAAAATGGGCTTATTAGTGATAGGCAGCATGGTTTTGTGCAGGGAAGGTCATGTCTTACCAACTTGATAGAATTCTTTGAGGAAGTGACAAAGTTGATAGATGAGGGAAGGGCTGTAGATGTCATATACATGGACTTCAGTAAGGCGTTTGATAAGGTTCCCCATGGTAGGCTGATGGAGAAAGTGAAGTCGCATGGGGTCCAGGGTGTACTAGCTAGATGGATAGAGAACTGGCTGGGCAACAGGAGACAGAGTTGTAGTGGAAGGGAATTTCTCAAAATGGAGAACTGTGACCAGTGGTGTTCCACAGGGATCCGTGTTGGGACCACTGTTGTTTGCGATGTACATAAATGATCTGGAGGAAGGTACAGGTGGTCTGATTAGCAAGTTTGCAGATGACACTAAGATTGGTGGAGTAGCAGATAGTGAAGGGGACTGTCGGAGAATGCAGCAGAATATAGATAGACTGGAGAGTTGGGCGGAGAAATGGGAGATGGAGTTCAATCCAGGCAAATGCGAGGTGAGCATTTTGGAAGATCCAATTCAAGAGCGAACTATACGGTAAATGGAAAAGCCCTAGGGAAAACTGATGCACAGAGAGATCTGGGTGTTCAGGTCAATTGTACCCTGAAGGTCGCTACGCAGGTCGATAGAGTGGTCAAGGCGGCATACAGCATGCTTTCATTCATCGGACGGGGTATTGAGTACAAGAGTTGGCAGGTCATGTTGCAGTTGTATAGGACTTTGGTTCGACCACATTTGTAAAACTGCGTACAATTCTGGTCGCCACATTACCAAAAGGATGTGGATGCTTTGGAGAGGGTGCAGAGGAGGTTCACCAGGATGTTTTCTGGAATGGAGGGCGCTAGGTATGAAGAAAGGTTGAGTAGATTAGGATTATTTACATTAGAAAGACGTAGGTTGAGGGAGGACCTGATTGAGGTCTACAAAATCATGAGAGGTATAGACAGGGTGGATAGCAAGAAGTTTTTTTCCCCCCAGAGTGGGGGACTCAATTACTAGGGGGTCACGATTTCAAGGCGAGAGGGGAAAAGTTTAAGGGAGATATGTGTGGAAAGTTCTTTAGGCAGAGGGTGGTGGGTGCCTGGAACATGTTGCCAGCGGAGGTGGTAGAGGCAGACACGATAGCATCACTTAAGATGTATCTAGACAGATACATGAATGGGCAGGGAACAGAGGGATACATATCCTTGGAAAATAGGTGACAGGTTTAGATAGAGGATCTGGATTGGTGCAGGCTTGGAGACCCAAAGGGCCTGTTCCTGTGCTGTAATTTTCTTTGTTCTTTGTTCTAATTCACATGGATAGAAAATCGATTAATGGGTAGGAAGCAAATAGCAATAAATGTGGTCTGTTCAGGTTGACAAGCTGTGACTAACTGAATGTTCTAAGAATCAGGGCTGGGCTCTCAGCTATTTACAATCTGTACTACTGTCCAAGTCAAAGGAACAGTGGCTAGCACTGCTGCCTCACAGCGCCAGGGACCCACGTTCAATTCCACCCTCGGGCGACTATCTGGGTGGAGTTTGCACATTCTCCACGTGTCTGCATGGGTTTCCTTCCACAGTCCAAAGATGTACAGGCTAGGTGGATTGGTCATGCTAAATTGCCTGTAGTGTTTAGGGATTTGTACATTAGGTGGGTTATAGGGGGTTGGGTTTGGGTGGGTGCTCTGAGGGTCGGTGTGGACTTGTTGGGCCGAAGGGCCTGTTTCCATACTGTAGGGATTCTATGATCTATGAAATATTTTAATACAGGCTAGTAAACTTCAAATAGATAAGGCAAATATAACAATGATCATCTTTTCTAAGTCTAATGGGAAATGTAGCTAAAATTGTAAGCATGATGGGATACATAGCAAATTATGCAGGGTCATTGCTCATGGAATTAATCCTGAAAAGTGTGAGGCGATGCATTTTGGGAGGACTAACAAGGTAAGGGACTGCACACTGAATAGTAGGGTCCTTGAAAGTTCTGAGGTTAAGAGTTTGGACTGCATATCCATTGATGCTTGAAGGCAACAGAACAGGTGAACAAAGCAGTAAAGAAGCTGTAAGGTGGGGCAAAAATCCCCATCAGTTGTTGGACATACCCTGGACTTAAGAACCCTCTGAAGGCAGAAGCTGTGGGAATTATATTATATTGGATTAAAGTCACTGGGACTCCAGAAACCATGGGCTGCAACTGAGCCAGGAAGAGGCTGACTGGGAAATATAAAAGTCCAGGGGCAGATGTCTGGGACCGCGGTTAGCTAAATGAAACCAAAAGGAACCCCCATTCGTGCCCCAACTAAAAACAATGCAAGCCAGTCGACAGGAAATAAACAACCTCAACAATTTCAGATCCTTTGGAGCCTACACAGGTATAAACCCATTCAATTCCAAATCAGTGCTCAGGCACAAAGTTACTGAACATTACGTGCCATTGTGTTACATGCAAACCTGTCTCACCTTAGAAACTTCACACCACGATGCAAACTGAACAGATACCCGTCCAAAGGAAATGCCGGACAGTCCAAACCCATCAAGACCACTAATTTCAATCGAAAACGATTCTCACCCACTCCATTGCTCAGGAAACCCTTTCACCCCCGAGAGGAGGAACAATAGCTCACAGATTTGGCGGGAGATAAGGGGAGCCTGCAGTGGGGTATAACTGGAGACTCATGCCCAGCACAACGGGGACAGAGTGAAGTAGAAGGTGCAGCGAAAAGCGAAGGAAAAGGAGAGAGAAGCAAGAAAAGGCAAGGGAATTGACAGAAAGAGAGCATGAATCCTGCACTGCGAGCGGGGCGCCGGGAGACTAACTGCTGAACACCAGAAACTAACCGTAAACCTCCACTCGACGTCCAGAGGTGACCGACGGCATCCCGAGACATGAAACACCAACCTGGGCAACACCAGCAACATTCTCCACCAGCCGCAACAACAACCCGCTAGCAAAACCATCAGGAGGAGGAGAAAAACCAGGATACTCACCAGGCCAGTCCCACACATCAAACCTCATCGACAGACACCGCCCAACTGACCGTTATTGCCTGCAGCCCTTCGCGGAGTCCCAGCTACGGCAAGCGACTACGGACAGAGCCAGTCGAAATCATGTTTTTCACACCAGGGGTGAGTCTAAGGTCATCGGGACCCCTAACCCAGCTGGGCTTGTCTTAGACAAGGGAAGGGGGCTTTGGGTTAATGGTTTAGGGCACCTCTAAGGAAGGGAAGTGGATTAGGACTTGGGGTCAGCACGTAATTCGCTCTCTCTCTCCTCTTCCCTATTAGTATAAGTAACAGTCACCCACTGTATCTATTATACCCACTGTATTAATAAACTGGGGGTTAAGTTAACTGGGAGACAAGGTCTCAGTCGGATACAGACGGGTTCTAATTTGATATTCACTCTCCTGTTTTTTTTTCTGTAAATATATTAATTCTGCTTGTTTGTTTAATAAAATCAAGAGTTTTCTTGGCCTCGGAAACATCTGATTTCAGTGTTTTTCCACCACACCACATTCCATACGTAAGCCCAGTGTCAGAACCAGGGAGCTGGTAAACAGTGAACCAGGCAGCACTCCCTACAAAGGCATATGGAATACTTGCCTTTATTAATCAAGGCTTTGACTGCAAGAGGAAGGAGATTATGATGGACCTGAATATAACATTTGTTATGTGGCAACTAGATTTCTGTATGCAGTTCTGGTCACCACACTATAGGAAGGATCTGATTGTAGTGAAGAGGATGCAGAAGACATTCAGTGGGACACTGGAGCAATTCAGCAATGAAGAGAGATTAGGTAGGCTGGAGTTGGTTTCCTTCGAGCAGAGAAGGTTGAGGTGGACCTGGTAGAAGTTCACAAACGTCTGAGGGGCATAGGCAGGATAGTTAGGGAGAAACCACTCCCCTTAGTGGAGGGGTTAATACACAATCATAAGGTAAGGATCATAAAATTTAGAAGGGATTAGAGAAAATATTTTTTCAGCCTGAAGGTTGTGAGTGTCTGGAACACACTGTTTAGAACGGTTGTAGAGGCGGTAATCCATAAGACATTTAAGAGCTGTTTAGCTGAGCACTTAACTTGACATGGCACACAAGGCTATGGGCTGAGTGCTGGAAAATAGGATTTGAATAAATGGATGTTTGATGACTGGTGTGGACACAAGGAGCTGAATGGCCTCTGTCTCTGCTCTAAAAACTCTATGACCGTGTGATTGAAACTCTTTGACTTTAAGAATGTAAATTGCAAATTGTAACGATCATCAAAGAGATACTCGACCTGGAGTGTTAATGACACTTTATAGGTTCATGAGAACTTGAAAGGGGACCATCTGCAAAACATGTATAGCGCCGTTATGTTGACAATGATGTATGATCTAAGTGCTAAGATATTCAATGACATATAAACTGTAAAAGCATTGTAATGAAATATCGGAATTAAGACTACAAATTGTCATGCCGACCAGGTTTTGGAGACAGATCTTAGTGGGCTTTAGGCAAATGTTTCTCTAGCATATGCTTGTGGAAATAAAATCAAAAATAGAAGCATTGAAAACTCAAAGTAGATTTCTTTCCAACTCAGCTGAGATTAAGGTAATTTATTGTGCTGATGATACAGAAAAAGAAGCTAGGTGAGAATGCAAGCCATGAATCGAATCAGCTGCAAAGGAATATAGACAGGTGAAGGAATATAGAAGGTTGCAGATAGAAGTATAATGTAGCGAAGTGTGAGACTATTCACTTAGGTCATGTCAATAGGAAAGCAGACACATAAGTTTAACTATTGATTTTCAGACAGACTTTGAATATGTATACAGTGATTACAAAATGTTAATGTGCATGCACAGGAAGCAATTAGGAAGGCAAAGCACATGTTGGTCTTTAGTGCCAGGGATTTGGAGGATGAGGATATAATAAGTTTTTCTACAATTATACCATGATTCGGAGAGCCACATTGGGAATGCTATGTTCAATTTGGTCTCCACACTTAAGGAAGAATTCACAGCAAAATTTGTGTTGTCCAGCACATGTTGGTACTGAGTGGGGCTGGTAAACACAAAACAATTAGTGGACAATGAAAAAGATTTTCTAAGATTACAAAGATCTTGATCAAATGGGTTAATGGGCTGAAAAA